CCGTCCACTCCTCCCAGTCGCCCTAATGGGCCGAATGTTATGTTTGCTCATCTTTCTCAGACACAGATTCCTGTCCAGTCACTCACTATTGTTGTACATGGCAGTCTTGTGTCGCCTCCATGCCAGGTGCCACTCTTTCCAACAGCCTGGATCCCACAGCCTTTTCCTCCCCTGGTCTGACATACTTTATCAGCCCTGTTTCTCCCCCTGGGTCCAAGAACAGTGATCCAGGTGCCTTTGTCCCTGAATGAAAGTGGAAAGATGTCCCAGAGTCCCCTGCCTGCCCCAGCTAGCCTGAGCAGATGAGCGGCCTGGTAAAGAGTGATGGTGGTGGAGGGGTCTGTCCTGGGCTGACCTTCGTGCTCCAGTTGAGAATCCACATTTCCCTTGACCCCAGGGATTCCTCCAGGAGCCTTGCCCACTCCCCTCTGAGCTGCTCCTTTTGCTCCGAAGGGCGTTAGCTGATGGATGGTCTTGCGCCAGGCTCTATCGTTGTGGCTTTTGGATTTATTGGGGCTCTGTGCATTTCTCTCTCTGGAGTCGCCATCTGAGCTGCTCTCTGGTCACCCTGGCTCGTCTTCTCCAGCACGCTCATCTCAAATGCTGGCTGGTATATCCTGCTTCCTGCCAGGACCCTACTGTTCTGGGTGGATCTGGGCTGTGCTCCAGGAGACAAAATTCCCTACTCTGACTCCATTCACATGCCCAGATGTTCCTCTATTGACTTCCTCTCTCTCTCGCCAAAGTCATGGAACTAACATCTCCAAGTGAGAGAAGGAACAGAAGCATCGATAGCACCCATTCCACCCACTTCCTCCCGGCAACTTCAAGCATAAGTGTGGGAGTGGATGGCAGACACCTCCCAATTTGGAGGGTGCTCCAGAATCCACGACGGCCTTCCCTCAGCTATCATCTCTGACCATTTGGTTGTAACTGACCTGGCTGCCACATCTGGGCTCAACAGGAGTGTGCTAGGAGCAATTCCAAATGGCTTCGGAGATCAATATTTTCCTGGTCTATAAACAACCTGCAGCTCACGTTATATGAAGAAAACCTAGTCACACATCCCCCAGCTTGTTCAAAGCCGTAGGCGAAAGCAGGGCAGGTTTGGGGTTGGAATCGAGGTGGTCAGGCACCTTTGCTCTCGGTGTCTGAAAGCTGGTCTCTTATGGTGCAGGCAGGAGTTGATCAACTACCTCCCAGTTCTTTATGTTCATTCAGTATCCGTCTATCAGTACCAATATGCAGGAACCTGGGGCCTGGAGAGGACTGCCTGAGGCTGAGGGCAGAGAGCAAACAGAAACCACAGGAGGAGCCAGCACACTGGGTGTCAGCCTTGGAGACACAGCAGAGCCAGAACGCAGAGTCCCAGGAATGCCAGGGGAGGTGCCTATAGGAACTGCCACTTGGGGACTGAGGGTGGAGGAATGGGGCCAGGGAAAAGGAGTCCACTCCCAGGATCGCTTTAGTAAAGGGCCAGCATCTTATTTTATTAAAAGCCTGTTGATGGCTGGATAAATGGTCTTTCTGCTGAGTGGCAAGGGCCCAGTAACGCTGTGGGCAATTAGGAGCCAGTTCTGGGAGCTCACTTCAAACCAGCAAGCAAATTTTTTTTTTTTGCTAATTAGAGTCTCTCTCTCTCTCTCTCTCTCTCTCTCTCTCTCTCTCTCTCTCTCATCTCTCCCTCTCCCCTCCCTCCCTTTTCCTCTCTCCCATCTCTCTCTCTCTCTCCCCTCCCTCCCTCTCCCCTCCCTCCCTCCCTCTCCTTCCCCTCCATCATTCTTGAGCTTGACTCCCTGTGCATGGTGTGCGTGACCTTCTGTACACTGTGGGGGGGGGGGGGGATGTCACCAGATGACCTCCCTCCTTCTCCTTCTGTCCTTCACTCTCTTTACCCTCCTATAGGAGTGGACCCAGACAATGGCCTGGGGTTATTTACTGAGATGCCTGGGAGGGAAGGAACACAGCCCTGTTTATAGCGGTTGAGTTTCTAAACCACCAAACTCATCCCTCTCCAAATCTTCATTGTAGGAGAAAAACAAAACAAAACAGCACAAGGAGACTCATTTCAAACGAAAGCAGGAGAAAAGCTGTGTTTCCTTTGCCAGCCAGTTTGCGATTATTACTAATTTTAGGCTTGATTAAGGCAGGGAAGGTAAAATGACTTATTTCATGTTTTGATGGTAGTTTTATTTTTTTCTTCCTTCACTGCCTTGTCAGTCAGGCAGGTAAATAGTGACGTCAGAATGGGGGAGATTGGGTGAGCTTTGTGCAAACTCCTATAATCACACCTTCTGCTAAGTACCTCCCAGTACCTGTTCTGAAAGTCACCCAAATTGCTTCCACTTCTACCGGAATCAAAGAAATGACATTTCAAAGTGCTTATCCAGATTTTTAAAAACTATATTTGAACTATAAAATAAACGAAAAGGCTTACTACACTAACTGGTTGTCTGAGGTACCTTATTTAATTCCTTGGTTAGGTTAAAGGAAGTTGCTCTTATATAAGATAGAATACGGTAATTTATTGTCTTCTCTTTAACCTTGTTTTCAAACAATAAACTTTGCATGAGGAGCCAGAGAAGGGTATATATGTGTTTAAAAGAAAAAAAAATTAAATGTATAGTACACAGAGATAAAGGGATTCCAGGACAAGGAAAATGTAAAGTGTACCTTAAACTCTCTTACTCCATATTTGAACATTCAGTTTATCTTCAGAGGGCCTGGGAGATGACTTGGCAGTAGAGGTGCCTGTTGCCAAGACCGGCAACCTGAGTTTGGTGTGCGAGTGTGCGTATGCACACAACGTTTATGTTATTCATCGCATCATTAAAACCGTCATACCTACATAAACCTGAATCTGGTAAAGGCATAGCTTTCCCCATGTGTCTCAATACTTTATAAACTAACGTCATAGGAGTCCTTTAAATCACAGGGACAGGTAGCACAGGACACAGAAAAGAAGAGAAAAATAGCATGGCATGTTAAATCCAGCCAACCTTTCTAAACTTCTGCAAGTTTGATTTGTCTCTATCCTCCCATTATCAAAGAGAAAGGGAGAAGACCACCCGAGTGGCAAGGGAACGCAAAAGGGGCAGAATTTCCCCCTCGCAGTGAGGGATAGGGGCTCTATCAGCGGGCAGAGTGTGGTTTTCTAGTATGTCTTTGCTGGTTGATTTAAAACACCAACTCCAAGTTTTTAATATAGCACTTTCCGTGAGTCACTGGGCTGAAAGCCCATCCAGAGCCAGGCAAGGGTCCAAGACAGAAACAAGCAGGATCCAGCTACGAGAAGTCTCTGTTAGCACAGCTAAACAATTGTAATTAAGAAAGTTCCAGTCACTCCAAGATTGCCTCCTTCTAGATAAAATAAGGAAAACATTACTGAAGAGCAAGTGGGGCAAGGCACGGGAACAGCTCAGAGAAGATGCTGACAAGTGGCGGGGCTGCAATGCTAACAATCAACTTGCTGTCCCAGAGAGAAGTGATAATCTGATTAGCTCTTCGAAAGGAATGCAGCATCCTGTTGACTCGGGCATTGACTCCGGGGCAGAGCAGGTGCACAGAATGCATGGGGTGGGTCCCCCCTGAGAAAGCAGGAGGTGCAGTCTGGACCACCGGAAGCCCCAGTGATCCAATTCCTCCTGCAAAATCACCCAGGGAGCAATGCAGAGCCAAGCCTTAAGAACAGGCGGTGCTGACTTCTGCTCCTCTCCAACTTCTGAAACTACAAATAACTGCTCTGGAAATCGGTCCGCAGACAGGGAGACGAGCTTGAAAGCTGGGAGGAAAAGATGTGCTGGCAGGAGATCTCAGGAGCTGAGAACCAGTGACCTGCTTGGTGCCCTCCTGCTGTCCCTTCTCTCCCGTTTACCCAGGTCTGGCTCTGGAGGGATTTGCCGTGGGAATCACTAAAAGGCACGGACAAAGTCATCCTCAAACACATCCTATTCTCTATGGCTGAAGTCCATGGAGGCAGGGAAAACATGAACAGACCCAGCCAGAGGCTCCAGTCCCCGTTCTTACAGCCCAAGGTCTTTGCAGACAGTCTGGTCAGCCAGCGGCAGTAGCAGTATCACCACCACATCTGGTCTATGGTTGAGACATCAGTGGGTAGCCTGCCACTCACAGCAAGCAGCAGGGAGGTCCTGAGTCTTCCTGACTGTGCTCTGGCTTTAGAAAGCTAGGCCCAGCAGCCACTTTCCACCCCAACATGTTTCCCAGCCGCAGCATTTGGAAACATGAACCTCACTAAGGAAGCACTAGAAAGCGGCACTCTAAGAAAAATTATAATGAAATAAAGAAGAGCTCCTGGGGAAAAGAATCGAGAAACCTACAGAAAGGCCAGGGTGAAAGAGAACAGTAAGACACAGAACAAACCCTAATCCATAAGGGAATGTTAGACTCGGCCCTACCGGGTCACTAATTATCATAAAGGCAAACAGTCTAAATACACCCATTAAAATGTGGGTTGGCAGAGTGGATTTTAAAAGATGACCCAACTATATGCTGCTTCCAAGAAGCTCATTTCAAATTCATGGACTTAAGTAACTGACAGTAAAAGAAGGAAAAGGATACACCATAAAGACATTTTTCTAATGTACACTTGTTTTATTAATAATCTGTCATGTTTGGGGGTTACCAAAGTAATTTTAATGATGGTTGAATATAACAAAAGACAATCTTAAAACATCCAATGAGATGTCATTCAGTACAATAGTCAATGTTAAAAGAACATAGAACAAACATGTACACCATGGCACGGTTTTCATAAATGTCTATTCCGTCATTGGTGGGTAGCACTTGAACAGTTAAATACATTTACATAATGTATAGTGACTCCACAAAGGCAGCGCTGATAACCAGATAACCATCCAGCTAGAAACCAGCCAACAGGAAGCGGTCTAAATATTTAAAATACGGTTCTTGTTTAATCACCCTTTGATTTGATCACCTTCTGGGGGGAAGGGGAGGAGCCTGCTGGTCACATGGAAATATATGAAGGCCAAATCCTCTGATATCCCTTCCCAGAGGTGTCCTTCAACTGGATTAAGCCTCCAGTTCCAAGGCAAGCCCAAGTTTGTGGCCTCCAGCATTAAAGCTCTTCCCATCTACCAGAGTAGACAGTGTAAGCTTCACACCAGGCCTCAGAGTCTGAGTATAACCCATTCCAATTGAACTAGAGTTGTTGACCTTTGCAGAAATGGAAGCAGTAGGATCCAACTGGTATTCAGCTGCAATGCCAAAACGAGTGCAGTTGGTACCTGATGTCCAAGCAAGGTTTACTGAAGTGTCAGAATCTTCACATACTTTCTGATAAATTGATCCTCCAAACTCTGTCCCCTTATTAATATTAGTATGTAGCTGGAAGTCCCCAGTCCTGTAGCCTACTGCAAAGCTACTTTTTGTCAGCTTTCACTTGGCACTGCCAAAGGTCATCTGGTACCCAGCAAGCCAGCCCTCTTAACCAAAGACAGCTGAGCCATGGAAAATCAAAGGTCCAGCAAAATCAAAGTCAACATCACAGCCAAGGTTTATATGCTCCCTCTTGTAAGCAGACTTGATTTTACCACTTTTCTTCCCTGTGTTCAGTGAAAAGGTAGCATTAAATGTCAGTTTCAAACCTTGACAGATCTGGTCTTCAGTTGCAGTCTCTGTTCCTAGAGTGTTATCGGTGTTCCATTTCTCTGTGAAAGTCAGACCATGCTCACACCATTTGTATGTGGTCTCCAAGGTCCCACTAACTTTACCAGTGTCTGGTTAGATGAACCAGAGGTTGAAAATTCCACGCCCCTGAATGAGTTTCTTTTCACATCCAGCTTTATCAACCCAAAGTCAAATCCTTTGTTGAAAATATCTCTGGCAGCTTTGCCAAGGTCAGCATAGGATGGAGGGATACACATTGGCCGTGGACATGTCCGTACACAACAGTCCGTCATAGCGAAGCCGCGGGGCGGGGGTGGGGGTGGAGGGCATCTGTGGGTGTCCTGAGGGGTGTCGCTGCTGCCACTCTGCTATCTGGTGATTGCGCTGCTGCGGCTGGAGGGCAAAGTGAAGGAGCCGCCATAAAATTGTTTATAAAAGGGGCTGGAGAGATGGCTCAGCAGTTAAGAACACTGGCTACTATTCCAGAGGATCCGAGGTTGATCCCAGCACCCACATGGCAGCTCACAGCTGTCTGTAACTCCAGTTCCAGGGGATCTGACACCTCACATAGACAAACATGTTGGCAAAACATCAGTGCTCCTAAAATAAAAAATAAATAGTTTAAAAAATGTTAATAGAAAGGAAGCATGATTGGTTATACTAAATCAAAACATCAAACAAGGAAAGTTACTGTGGGCATAGAGGGATGTTATTAAATAATAAATAATCCATCAATAAGTGATAATTATCTTGTGACCCAAACATGAAAGGCTCACAGGTATGAAACAAAAAGTAAACTGATAGAAAAAAAATACAATTCTACAGCTATTGTAACGACATGATCTCCATGGCCCTCACACTCAGTGCTTCCAGGAACCAGAGACAAAATCAGCAAGAACATAGGACTTGACATCACCAACTGACAGGGATCTGATCCTATCCTAGCACATTCTGTCCAACAGCAGCAGAACACAGAATCTCCAAGGGCCCACAAAATACTCAGCAAAGTGGAATACACTGTAGATCACAAAACAATATTGACGGTGCTGGGGAGACGGCTCAGCAAGGAAAGCACACGGGCCAGAGTTTGGATTTCCCAGTACATGGTGGCTAACGTGTAATCCCAGAGCACAGGAAGAATAGATGGGGCAAGCTGGCTACACAGACTAGCTGATCTGAAGAATTTAGATCAGCAAGAGATTCTATCCCAGGAAATAAAGCGAAGGACTAGTGAAGAAAATTCCTCACATCAACCAAGCATCCAAGTGTGAGGATCTGAGTTCCAACCTCTAGCACCTATGTAAAAAGCCAGGCTGTGTGAGATGTATAGTGTAGGGTGTGCAGGTGAGAGAGAGGTGTGTGTGTGTGAGAGAGATGTATGGTGTAGGGTGTGCACATGTGTGAGAGAGGGGTGTGTGAGAGAGAGATGTATAGTGTAGGGTATGCGCATGTGAGAGAGGGGGGTGTGTGAGAGAGAGATGTATGGTGTAGAGAGTGGGTGTGAGAAATGTGTGGTGTGTGTATTGTGAGAGAGATGCATGGTGTGTGTGTAGTAGTAGTATGTGTATATGTGTAAGATGTGATGTGTGTGTGTGTGTGAGAGAGAGAGATACATGGTGTGTGTGCAGTCATGTGTGTATATGTGTGAAAGATGTGGTTTGTGTGTGTGTGTGTGAGAGAGAGAGATGCATGGTGTGTGTGTAGTAGTATGTGTATATGTGTGAAAGATGTGGTATGTGTGTGAGAGAGAAAGAGATGCATGGTGTGTGTGCAGTAGTATGTGTATATGTGTGTAAGATGTGGTGTGTGTGTGTGTGTGTGTGTGTTACTAGAATAGAATCAGGCAGATCTGGAACTTGCCAACCAGCCAGCCTAGCCAATCAGTGAGCCCAGGTTTGGTGAGAGACTCTGGAAGAAGAAGGAGGAGGAGGAGGAGAAGGAAGAAGAAGGACAAGACAGAGAAAGAGGAGGAGGAGGAAGAAGAAGAGAGGAAGAAGGAGGAAGAAGAAGAAGGAAAAGTGGAGAACAACAGTGACAGACACCTGTCACCTGCTCTTGGCCTCCACACAGCACCCACACATATGCATAAACACCCACATAGACATGTGCACACAAAACATACAATAAATATGTGCCTGAAAAAATGAAATGAAGGCTGAGTTAAGCATGTACGGATCTCTTAAAAGATCAAATGAAACAATACACATAAAATACTTTGAGTACTCTGATAATAATAACAACAAAAATAATGAAAGCAGTAATGGCCATGATTTATTGAATATTCTCTGCTGCTCACACCGAGGAGGCTTTTACTTAAGCCACGCAAGCACAACTTGCACTGTTTCCTGCAGTCCTCCTTAGCTATGGCTTTCTTTTCCATGGTTTCAGTCACTATAGCCAGTTCTTACCCAAAAATCTTAGATGTAAAATTCCAGAAATAACACTTAAATTATGCACAGTTCTAAGCAGCATTATGACTTCTCTGCCCTGCCTCTTCCTCCTGGGGTGTGAATTATCTTTTGTTCATGTATCCACATTGTATATGTTGCATGTCCATGAGTAATTTAGTAGCTTCTACATTAACCGCCATAATATTACAACACTTGTATTCAAGAGGCATATATTTTATGTAATAATAGCCCCCAAAGAACAATAATAGTGAAGATGACAGTTTATTTACACTATATTGCTATAAATGTTTTCTTTTGGTATTGATTGTTGTTATGGTCTTACTGTGCCTAATTTATAAATTAAATTTTATCATACTTGCTGTGTATTGGGGGAAAAAAGCATGTGACGTAATCAGTACTACCCATGGTTTTAAGCATCCACTGGAGGCCTTAGGATGTATCTCTTATGGATAAAGGGGGCACTACCGCACATAGACTGACTATAAAGGCTAGAGAAGTAATGTGTCTGAACACACAGCTTACAGAACAACAGAGTCCCAGCCTAGGACTCCCATGGTCGCACTGTGTTCTCATGCCCTCCGGAGACAGTGAACTAGTGAGAAAAGACTCCCTTGGCTTAGGCATCTCTTCTGCAGATGGGTACAACCTCATATGATTAGATGCAACCTTAGCAGGTGGATGGAGGGAGCCATCTTGGTCTCTTAGTCATGGCCTCCATACCAGCAAGCTCCCTAGGAAAGCAGGTTCCCTTTGGCAGGGCCGCAGTTGGGATGCGCATAGGACCAGGAACAGCTGTTTCCTGGAAGGAGCAGTTGGAGAGAAGGAAGAACCACGCCGTGTGTCCAGGTCTAACAATAGCCCCGTTATTTCTGACAGGGCCTTGGTCGGGATGGAAGTCTTTCTTTCAGGTGCAGAAAAGGAAAGCGTGGCTGTGCGTCACTGCCTTAAAATAGGTGGGGGCAGCTTGCAGGTGACGCGTGAGGAGTTTCTCAGTTGGTATTTCCTATATTTCCTGTTTTGGATGTAGGTCTCTGTCTTTCTTTCCTGAACTGGTGAGTGTGTGTGTGTTCATAAAGTTTGTGTACCAGGTTTTCCCTCATCCCCCATCTGTGTTCTTTTCATCAATAGTCTACCAGCTGTTCAGCACTGTGACAGGAACCCACAAAAACTCAGGCAGCTCTGTTGTTTTCTCCTTAGCTTTTCCCCGTAGGCTCATAAAGCTTCGACACACCTGCAGCGCAGTACAGCCGAAGGGACATGCTGTCCTGCATTGGAGTTGTCCATGGAAAGAGACAGCTCAGGCCCTGAGCAGTCTGCAGTCTTATTTGCTGTTCAGCACAGCTTTCTTTAAGTCAGTACCCTGGATCTGAGATTGACATTTTGCTAAATTCCTTCACTTCGAATGTTTTTGTGATGGGCCAGCAAGGTGGTCCAGTGTGTTAAAAGGTTTGCCCTGAGGGCTTGATGACCTGAGATTGATCCCTGGATCTCACGGAGTAAGGAGAGAAGGGCTCCTTAGAGAGAAGGATGGCCATGGTGTCTGTACACCCGTTCACACACACTCTTTCACTGAGCAATAAGTACAATAAAATAAATGTGAATTTAAATGAAAAAGACTTTGTGGGGCTGGAGGAATGATGACTCAGCAGTTACTGGAACTTTCTACTCATGCGGAAGCCCAGCACCCACATCAGGAGGCTCACAACTGCCTGTAACTCCATCTCCCTGGCACTCCCTTCTAGCCTCCTTGAGTACCCACACACATATGGCTAGTGTATGCATACATGTGTGTGCACACATGCATACCCACCCTTAAACATAAATCTTTTAAGAGCTGTTTGACAAAAGGGCTTCTAGTTCAGACAAGCTAATGTAGGCCTATCTTCTCTCCTCCCAGCCAAGGACAAGAATAGACTCTGAGAAATATGCAAGAGACATCAGCAAAAGAACTCTGAAAAAAAGGGTGGAGAATTAGTTATGGATCCTAGGATCCGAGGTACAGCATGGCAGCCATGTGCCTTACCACCACAGCGAAGGTGACCTAGGCCTGGCACTTCCCAAAGCCAGCCAACAAGGAGTCAGTCCTTCTCTTCAGAGAGTGCCCAGCATCTCCTTCTTTTTCACTGACAGACACACTGGGGATCAAACCTTAACAAGCAGCCTTATTTGAGCATCACTTGTAGTTGGCATTTCCTTTGGGTCACCACCCAACTCCCAAATAAAGACACAGAGACTTATTATTACTTATGAATGCTCGGCCTTAACTTAGGTGTGGCCCACTAGCTCTTAATTTAACTTAATTTAACCTGTCTATTCATTTACGTTTTTCCTCAGGTTTTTTGTTTGTTGTTTTTGCTTTTGTTTTTTGTTTCTAACCTTTCTTTCATTCTGTATGTCTTACTTTTCTGCTTCCTCCATCACTGTCTGTCTGGTCCCCAGTGTCTCTTTCTTTCCTGAGTCTAAATTCCTCCTCCTACTTACTCTCCCTGCCTGGAAGTCCCACCTATACTTCCTCCCTCATTATTGGCTATTCAACTTTTTATCAGACCAATCAGGTGCCTTAGCCAGGCAAGGTAAAACAGCAACACATCTTTACATAGTTAGACAAATGCAACACATCTTTACATAGTTAAACAAATGCAAAATAGTTGCATAGTTAAACAAATATTCTGTAACAATCACTCTTGTCTGCACAGTTCTGATATGCCCTTTCCATCTGGAGAATTCAGGAGGGCCAGACTAAGAGAATTCCCAAACTCCAGGCAGGATCAGGGAGGATATAGGGAAAGTCCAGTTGTTTGTGATTGTGTGTAGAAAGTAATGAACTGGGCTCAGAGGCTAATAATAAATGAGGCCAAGTCCTTTACATTAGACCTAAATGGAGTGAAAAC